CCAGGACAAGCAGGGAGTAGGGAAGGGAGCTGTGCCGGAGGAGGGTAGTAGCAACAGGAACATCCACACAGGCGGACAGAAGTCCATGAGAAGGGCAGGGCCCAGGAAGGGACACACTCAAAGGCCTCTGAGTGTAACACGGGCCCTGCCTTGCAAACGTCCCAGGCAGCACATATTTCCCTCTGCTTAAATGTGTTGTTCTTGAGTGACTTCCACTCCATGAGGCCACAATGCCCAAGAAGAAAAGTCCAACATTCCCGCCCATGGCCCTCTGCCCATGTGGACTTCCTGACCCCTCCATTCAGTACCTTCCTTTGCATTGTGGTGAGCAAGAGAAGTCATGTAAAAAGAGTATGGAATGATGTGATAAATCAGGCCTGGGGACCTGGTATGCACTCACAGACAGCTTCACACACACAGATGGATACCTGCAGGCACGTGTGCTGGTGTGCACACACGTCACAGCTCTGTCAGCTGAAGGGGGTTGTCTCTGTGAAATCACGCCCTGGCAGCAGCAAGCCCGGGCTTTAACACCATTCTCCAACAAAACAAAGAGGGGCTCCGGGAAGAAATGGCTGCCTCCAAGGAAATATGAAAGATGGGCTCAGAGCATCGTGTAGTGACAACAAAAATCCACAAGGAAGCATGCTGGACTTTACAGCCTCCTCCACGACTGTGAGCCAAGGCTTATAATAACCTTCTCTCCCCACCGATGTACAGATACAGCTATGGATCCAGAGACATAGAAATGGATATAGATAGAAATATGTATCTACATCTTGCACTGGTTCTGCTTCACTAATGATTAATATGACCAGTCTATATTAAAGCCTCTGAAGACAGAGATCACTTATTCATTCTGTTGGCTTCTCTTAGCCCATTACAGCCCCTGGCTCATAGCAGGAGAGAGCCGAGCGCAGGGAGGGAACTGTATGTCCTGCCAATCCAGTCACCACACAAGGTGCAGGGGAGCCAAGTGAATTCGGGGAACCCAAGATCCCCAGCCCAGACAGGACCTCAAGCACAACCCCAGGAGACCAGACTCCTTCCCACAAAAGGACAGGAGAGAGAACGATCCTCCTCAGATGACAGAGCTGGAGGAGGCAGAAAGATAGAGGAGCTGAGAAAGGCAGATGGGGAGAGACAGGCAGCTGCGGGGAGCACAGCTGGAGAAGCGGGCAGGAGACACGCCAGAAATCAAGCCACACCAGCCGGGCCAGGGCAAGACTCCGGAGACCCACGCGCTCATGGGAGAGTCACCACCGGCAAGCAAGGGGATCTAGGACCACCAGCCTCTCCGGGGCTCCAGCGCCTCCATCAGGGAGACTGAGGATCTTCCTCCTTCATTCCATGTATGCTATAGGGCCTCAGGAAGTCCAGGTCAGGGAACAGTCAAGAGCCCAGCAACGAATGAAGGCAGAAGGATGAGACACCACCTTGTGACCTGTAAAGAGGGACAGAGGGTGGAGCTCACACCACCTCTTGAGACAGACCAGGCAGCCTTTGAAGGAGGGGGACACCTGCACCACCGAGGCCAAAGTCAGTGTCCTGAACCTCAGTCGACCCAAGAAAACAGTTCCCAAACATGTCCTCTGCACCTGTCCTGAGACCCAAGACTGAGCCTAGAGAGAGAGAAGACAGCAAATCATCCCCAAACACTCGGGCCTCCAGGAGCTGAGTACTCACTGCTCCTGAAGATTCTGCAGCCCGGCCTTGACTCTGACGCTGACCGTGCTGGCCGCTGTCAGAGTACAAGCTGTGGTGGGTGCTCACCAAGCACCTGGACATACTCGACTGGGACCTGGAAACTCTCCTGCCCACGGGGCTGGACCCGGCCACTGCTCCTGCCTCTGCAGAGCCTGGCCGGGCATTGCAGAGGCAGCCATGGCTGCAGTGTGACCGTGCAGGCTTAGGGACAGATGTTATCAGCAGAAATAAAATTGGGCACATTTTCCCCGAGACATAGGAATCCCTCCTCTGCATTTGCCCTGACATTCACTCAACTGTTTTTACTGCTAAAAATAAACTCCAGGTCAAGTGCAATGTGCCAAAAACCTCAACATGAAACCACAGAAACAATAATAGAGAAATGGGCCAGCACCAGAGGTCGTGTCAAAAGGCGTGTCTATTTCAAGTGTAAGGTCTGCAGAGTTCCAAGTGGGCCAGGAGGACTTTGACACCACAAACACTGACTACGGGGAGCAACCTTGACATGTGTGCCCTGCGGCTAATGACCAGTGCAGGTTCACTCCACACACAGGAAGGCTGGAGGCTGCTCATGCCCTCACAGGGCCAGTGACAGCCAGCAGGGGACCAGCAGGCAGGGAACCAGGAGAAGTGACCCAGGCAGCAGAGGCCAAAAGAGCAAAGGGAGGGTCAAAGATGAAGATGCTACACCAGGTGTGGTGGTGTATGCTTGCGGTCCTAGTACTCAGGAGGCTGAGGCAGGATTGCCAAGAGTTGGAGGAAGCCTGGAGAACATGATGACACCTTGTCTCCAAAACAATAAAAAACAGTAAAATAAGATGCCACTCCATTCACCTGTGTTCTGTTGCTACAGCAGAATACCTGAGACTAAGATCCAGCACCTGAGCTCTCAGGGACCCTCAGTGCAACTCAGTCAGAGGGAAGAAGCCCTCCTCTTCTGCTGTGTGATCAGAGAGGGGCTGGACGAGAGATGACAATCCCTAGATGGTCACGCGCTGGACAGGTCAAGGCCTGGACGAGGAGACCAAAAACAAGGGTATCCACTCCCCAACCATGTCGGTAACCCCCCCAACCACCCCAAGCAGGTACAGGCCCAGCTCGCAGCAGGGAAAGAACAGCTTGGAGAGCTCTGCTCGCCAGGGTCACACGGGAACAGGAGGCAGAGGGGGTGGATCTCAATACCCGGCTCTGTGTTCCTAGTGTCTCCGTTCCATGTACAGGGTCCACGAGCAGGGTATGCTGCTCTCCTACCGATCAGGTGGGCTGAAGGCAGGGACTCCCCATTTGACAGAAGAGCCCTGAGCACAGGTAGCACTGTGCACAAGCATGCTAAAGTCAGCCTTTTTCTGGCCCGTCACAGACCAGCCCTGCCCCAGGACACGTTCCGGACCGTGGGCCACCTCGGCACTGTCACCTTGCTCCCAGAAGCTAAATTCTCGGGGAATTCTTCTTTCACCCCATCAGACTTGCCAAGCCTCGCCTCTGTTCACAGGGACAGACCACGCTGCTCACCGCCGCAACCCCAGCACCAAGGGACAGTTGTGCGGCTTCCATGCTCACTGCACACGACAGGTTCCCCTGTGCCCCTGCTCTCATCCTGGACAGCTGGCTCCAGCCCTCAGGCCCAGGCAGGGAACAGTGATGGCAGGAAAGGCTGATGTGTAGTTACAGCCCCGCTGCCCCTCGGCTGGATGCCCAGACCAGGAGCATGGCCCCCAAACACAGCTCACGGCCAGCTAAGTCCTGGATGGCCGCTGCAAGGCACACACGCTCCCCCGGGGAGGCTGTCGGCTATACAGCAGAGGCAGTCTCACCCCTGCCCCAAGTGGGAAACTGGGTCATGAAATGGAAAGGGAACTGTGGGTGTAACAGGGAGCTGTGCTCCAGGGGACGGAAAGGCTTCCTGCCAATCAGCAGCTGAGTGCTGAGGAGGCCAATTCACAGTCTCTCTCAGGAGCCAGAGAGGCAGCGTTCTCTCCACGCAGCCCCTGTGGACACGCCTCGTCCTTGTAGGGACAATCTGCCCTCTGTATCCACAGGTTCTGCGCTGGTGGATCTAGCCCACTGTGAGGGAAAATGTGCAGGAAAAAACTGCACCCCTCCTGAACACTGTGAAGGCTTTTCTTTGCATTATTCCCTAAGTAATACAACATAATAACTATTCACACAGATTCCCCATGGCATCACGCAGTGAGTGACCTAGAGGTAAAGTACACAGGATATGTACAGATTATACTCAAATAATGTGCCATTTTGTGTAAGGGACTTGTGCACCCACAGATTTTGGTCTCCTTGGGGTCCTAGGACGAGTCCCCAAAGACACAGCGATGACTGGAGCTGCTGCATGTGAAGGACCTGTGTGAGACCCGGCTCTGCCCCTTGACACAGGGCAAGGCCATACACGCCATTTCCCTGTGTCCCGGGACCACCGAACACCAGAGCAGACCTGGGAGGAAGGAAGCAGCACAGCACCGCTCCCCCCGCCCAACCCCCTTACCCCGTCCTGGCCGCTCGCTGCTGACTTCCCAGCGCTTCACTCCCTCACCACGTTCTTTCTTTCCATCTTTACAGTTTTCAGGTTTGTGGTAGAAATCACATCACTTTCAATTTCACCATGTTATTCATTCTTTCTAACAGCTTATTTAAGAAAGGAAAAACCTGAAACTGACCTCATTCATTCCTCGGAACATTTGAGAATCTCCTCTAGGTTCTATCTCCCCTCCGTCACTTCCCTCTCTCCTCTCTTCATTCCTTCTCCCTGAGTTATTCAGTCAGTCGTTCATTCACTGGTCTGTCCAACAACCCCACTGAAAGGCCCATCCTGGAGCCGGGTCTGTGCCAGTGCTAGGACATGTAAGACTGTCCTCACTCTGAACAAGTTCTCGTGATGAGCACAGGTGGGGGACAATGCAGAGGAAATTCCCACCGGCTGCACAGCCAGGTCTGAAATTGCCTGCCGTATGGGGGCCACTGCAGGAAACAGGCAGCTCTGCTTGGGATGAGGGCTGGGAGTGGCCCTGGGAGGGCTGCCTGGCATGAGGAGGCAATGCTCCAAAACAGGAAGCGGTGTTTTTGTTTATTAATTTTCAATTGATCGATTTTGCCATGTTGAGTTCTGTTTATGTGCCAGGCCACTTCCAAGTCTTTGGCCTGCTGGAACCCATCATGTCAGCCCGGGCAACAGCTTCTGAAGCACCTGTCCTCTGGACCTGTACTGCAGGTTGTACTGCAAAGACTGTCAACTCCAAAAGCTTTTTTTGTTGTCACAGGCTCAGGGGGTGAATGTCCCTTACCTCAATTCTCCAAATTCCCAAGTAGTTCTGAGCTCAAGAAAGATATCCTCAAGTTCTTCTGCAGTGCTGAATGGATACGCATCTTTTTCAGGTTACAAGCACCTAAATCCCAGGTGTGACAGGATTCTAGAAATATGCAAAAAATAAAAGGATTGTGAGTAGCAATGCTTACCTTGAATGGATGTGGTAATGCACTATTTCATTTGAGTAAAAAATAAGAGCTGCATATGACTGTGTGCCACATGAAAGGTGCCATGAAAAGGACAACCATAAAATGCACGTACTGCAAACATGTATGGATAGAATAAAAAGAACCACTGAGCCATGAACCAAGAACCCCTGTGTCATATCCCACAAGACGGACTCTGACAGCCTCATGTTTCAGAAGACACACAGGCAACCAGGCCAGAGTTGACCTTCGGGTCCTCCTAACTCCCAAGCGTCTGCCCATCGACTATGTCCCCCTTCCTTAAGAGAGACTTTCATTCATCTGATTTCAACAATTCTAGGTGGAGAGGAGCAGGAAGTATACCCAAGACCTCCATTCTGACAACAGCCTGCCCTGGGGTGCCCACTCCACTCTATAGATGGTAGAGATGCTGTCAATCACAGAAGCTGCATCAGATTAACTTTGCCATAAATGTTATCTAGGCTCAGTGCTATCATCCAGTGACATGTGAACTGTGGGCAGCATGCATATTCAGGGAACAAAAAAAGTAGCCTCATCAGAGATTCTTATCCTAACGCATCACTGAAATGGCTGCATGGAGTGCCAGAGGGTATAACAGGGCAGTGAGTGACTCAGGGAGGCGCTTGTTCTTAACAGCTTGGGGAGGTCTCTTGGGCCACCCCAAAGCCAGCCTCACATTTGCCCTGGTTGGAGTCCTGTCTGAAGAGGCTGCTGCTGCTCCAGTGCAGACCTGACAGAAAGCTGGAGAAATGTAATGTTACAGTTATGCTTGCTGTGGGACCCTTTCTCCCCTTACAGACCTTCGTCGCAGACCTCTCCACAGAGCAGCCCAGCATACAAGGCGCCCCGTCTCTAATGACATGGGGCTCGGGCACCACAGGCAGCATAAAGGACGCTGGAAAGTTCTGAGGGGCATTTGCCCTCAGTTCTGGAAACAGCAGGCCAATGTCCCTGCCCCATGGCGAGGAACGATAGGCAGGTGACATGTGCTCCCCACAGTGAATCACCCTCTTTCTTCAGGGAATGACGCTGCCATATTTGCTTCTATGGGGGCCTCGGGACATCACCTTCCTCCCTCATAAGAGACTGCAACAGTCTGGCAAACCCAGGGGCATCGCTGCCTGCTCCCTGGAAGTGCTGGTTCCCCCAGTACCTGCGCGACAGTGAGCAGCAGCCTCTGTACCTCCTGCATTTAGACCAGGAGAGCACTTTCGCCTCACTGTCAAAATGCAATTACTTGGGCACCCAAAAGGGCAGTGGTACAGCTTCCTAGGAGACAGTGGGCCCCTGTCATGCTGCTTCATGTCCCTCTTCTGTTCTCCAAGAGCCATTTAGGAGCTCAGCAAAGCATCTCACCTCTCTGTACTGATCTTTGCATTGAAAGGCTTGTTTAGTGTTCACAAAAATCTTCTCAGCGCACAGCATTGAAAGCACTTAGAAATGTCAGCTGTTGTTAAAGCCATTTAAGCAAATGCTGGAGGCTTTTACTGTCTCTTGACAATAAAGGAAAACCCAAAACAAGAACAGCCCCTTCTCCTCCTTTCTCTCCAGTGTAGCACACTCACTACCGGGGCTCAAACCATGAGGCTCAGGGAAACGAGAAGCCTGGAGCCAACCTTGCTAAGGCCCTCATTTTATTTTCCAGTACGGCGGTACCTTGGCCTATGAACTTCATTTGCTTTATAATTTGGGGGAAGATGGCAGAGTCTGTGTGGGGAAGATAGCTATGGTCATTGTTGTCACCTGATGCGGAGTGTGGGAACAGAAGCAAAATTCTGCTGAGTGCTTCTGTTTGCAAACAGAAGCATTCATGAACCGAGGTACTGCTGTCCTAGGGTTTGAACCTGGGGCTTTTGCCCCAAATTACATCCCCCGGAGCTGCCCTCACCACTTCGGGGACAAAGTCTTGCTAAACTGCCCAGACTGGGCTCTGACTTGTGATCCTGGTCTTCCTGCCTCAGCCTCCCAGGATGTTTGGGTTACAATCATGCGTCACCATGCCCGACTCCCTCGATTGTCAGCTTACCCGTCTGTGAAATGGTAAGATACGGCATTCCCTACCTCTTGGGTGTGCTGGCCAGATGAACCAGCACCACACGTGAAGGAGCGGCTCTGCAAACTACAAGGTGATGGAGAACAAAAAGTTCATCCCAAGCACAGCGTCTTTCTTGAGCATGCACTACGTGTCCCTGAGGACTGTCCTGCAGGACCCCACTGGACACCCACAATGACTCTGGGAGGCCAGGACACAGGTGCAACTACCATCTCCGCATCACAAATGTGGAAACCTACGGCACCAAACTGTAAATAGGTGGCTTAACTGTTGATGTGCACACCGGCTCCCCCACCTCCTTGTGCCGGGGCAAGGGACAGACTGTAAAAACACAGAATGCTGGCTCTTGCAGAAGAAAAAACTCTTCCAAGGCAGCCAAACTGATTAATACTTTTAATTAATGCTTTTAAGCAAACCCAAGGAGCAATGATCTCTGGAAATTAAGCAACTAAAATGTCTCAGTTTCTCCCAGGAGCAGAAGGCAGTCAGGGGAGTGCTCTGGACAGGCTGGAGGCTCACAGCCCGGTGCAAAGCATTAAGGTACCTGCCCTCTTCAACACACAAACCTCCCACCCTCAGAGAGCAGCCAGGGACATGGAGACCAGCACCACAGGTCACAAGACTCCTTGGCCTGGGTGAGGGAACCTGCTCACACTCCCATCCATCCCAGCAAGAGAGGATGGATGACCAGGGAGGCCTAGCTCGGGGGTGAGCAGCCCCCACCAGACCTACCTGCCGCTTCCTCCAAACACACTGTCCCTATGGTGAGAACATTTGCTTGCTCTGTGCTTGACAGACACACTGTTCCTGACCTGACCAAGCAAGCCGTGGCCCTGGCCCCTTTAAGGATGCTGGCAATTTCCCGGATGTCACTTAGGACTGCAAAAGATCACTGCTGGGACCCAACGCTGCACTCTGATGCCTCAAGAACCAGAGGGCCTGTGACAGGCAGATGCAAAACCACAAGGCCACCAGGAGGTAAGAGGAGAGGGGTTGCTGGCCCAGTCCCCAGTCATAGGGCCTCTATTTCTCTCCATCTGCCAGAAGCAGGGCCTAGTTATCTGCCCTTCTCCAAGCAGAAATGACTGGTACCCTGGTTGGGCAACCTGAGCAAGGCCCCAAGAGTAAGATGAGTGAATGCTAGCCAGAGGGGGAGGCCTAGGTACAAGACACAGCACCACAGCAGCTGCAGCAAGGCAGCTTCATGCTCCGGGGCATCGGGCAGCCAGGCTCAAATGCCCACCTGGACACTTTGTCATCCTCAAGATCTAACTACTGTCATCTGTTCCTACTGTCTGGCCAAAGATCTGATTTCAAAACAGCCCTGATTTTGAATCCCAGCTCTGCCAGCTCCTAAGTATGTGGCCATGGACAAGTTGATTGACCTTTTACACCTCGGTTTCCTCATCTACAAGATGTAGATGTGACCACCAGCGACAGGAGACCACTGGGGGTTATAAGGAATACAGTTAAACAAGTGGGGCAGCAGAGCTTTCAACAAAAAAGAGCTCAACACAAACAGGAATATTCTACAAAACAGCTTGCCTGGGCCGTTCCACAATGTCAAAGCCAAGAACAGCTGAGAACCATAGGGAGGATGAATCCGAGTCATTTGTAGGAGGACAGATGCAACTTGAGACCCTAACGCTAAACAAAATAAATGTGGCACAGAAGGTCAGATATCACATGCCTTCTCCTCTGTGAAAAGCCTAAAATATAAATAATTTAAAGAACAAAATGAAAGACCATGGGAAACAGAGAGGCAGACCTTTTGCAGGGGGAAGGGGACCTAGGGACAGGAGGAGAGGGAGGTCGGGGGGAAGGGGAAGTAAAAGGACTAAGGTGTGGTCTGCACGTGTACCAGCCCCCCACAATGAATGCATGCACTATGTACCGTAAACATGGACCGATGAAAGGGAAAAGAGAATCGCTAAAGAACGCTGTAAGTTAAAGGCAGGCTACAGGAACACAGCCACTGAGTAACTGACAATATAAAATTAGGAAAAAATAGTCAAATAGGACGTGACTGGGACAACTGATGAAACTGTGTGGCCTGTGGATTCGATAATATAATCGTAGCTATATTTCCTGAGATTGACAATTACATAGTGATTATGTAAAAGAATATCTTTGTGCTTAAGAAACATCCCCTAAATATTCAGGGATAAAAGGCCATGTCTGAACTATTCTCAAATGGGTCTAAGAAAGTTGTGTGTGTCTGTATGAACATATGCATCTGGTTCTTTAGCATCTGGTGCATCTGGTTGTATAGCAGTTGTTGTATCATCCCACTCACGCAAGCCACAAAAATAAATATTTTTCCAGTAAAACCAATGTTACTTTACTTACAAATGTTACGATTTATTGCATGGAAAACCAGAAAAGATAAAATGGAAATTAAAATAAACCACTACCCTGTCCCTCTAGTAAAAAGAAATAATGGATGCTACTGCTATTAATACCACCCAGGGCCAGGCGTGGAGGATGACCGAGAACCAGGACACATCCTTGGGGCCAGGCAGCCTGGAAAAACTGAGGAGCTGGGATTTGACCCTAGGTTGCCAAACAGGAGTGTCTCAGGCAGGAGGCAGGCGACACCTCAGGCCCAAGCAACAGCAGGCATCAAAACCAGACCTGTAACAGGTGCAGACAGCAGAGGAGCACAGCTCAAGTTTCCCTGCTTTGTCTGTGAGGGTGATCAAAAAATAGTGTGCCTGCTTAAAGTTAAAAATTTTATTACAGTGAAAGATACACTGTTGCCCTGAAGACACTTCCCCTTGCTTCGAACACACTTGTCCGATTGTTCTTGCCACGCTCTGAAGCAGTTCCGGAAGTCCACTTTTGTGAGGGTCTTTTCAGAGTGTGGTAAGTACAGGAGATTAT